TTTTATAAAAAATTTCTTTTAAATTATAATTCAATGTAAATTTCAAACCTTTATTCCACATATTTTCCCATTGTTCCAGCGTAATATTGTATCCAAAGTTTTTAGCCCATTTAATCATACATTCCTTGACTTGTTCATCTTCTAGATTCATCTGTAACAACATCTTATACATCTTAGCAATAACATGTTCATCATTTGTACAAAGTTGAATCTCAAAATAAGTTGTTTCATTAGCAAATCTATAATTCTTTTTGGCAATAACATGTTCATCATTTGTACAAAGTTGAATCTCAAAATAAGTTGTTTCATTAGCAAATCTATAATTCTTTTTGGCAATAACATGTTCATCATTTGTACAAAGTTGAATCTCAAAATAAGTTGTTTCATTAGCAAATCTATAATTCTTTTTGGCAATAACATGTTCATCATTTGTACAAAGTTGAATCTCAAAATAAGTTGTTTCATTAGCAAATCTATAATTCTTTTTGGCAATAACATGTTCATCATTTGTACAAAGTTGAATCTCAAAATAAGTTGTTTCATTAGCAAATCTATAATTCTTTTTGTCCGACTTTATCATACCACAAATAGGCATGCCACCCGAATCTTAATTCATGACCTTCAAGTTATAATAATTTTTTATTCTCCAAAGTTATCCAAACCTTCATCCAAAGCACATAACAAACATCAAAATACAGTTCTAAATTAGGCAAACCCAAACCTCCTCATTCCTTGGCATCCTGTAACAATTTATATTTAATTCTTGGTTTTTTGCCTTGCCAAATAAACTTCAAAATTTCTCTCTGCCACTATTTAGACAGTAAATCTGTAGTCAAAATCGGTATAGTCTGAAAGAGAAACAACATCCTAGGCAAAACATTCATTTTAAGCACAGAAATTCTCCCCATGAGAGACAATTGTAATTTTTCCCATCTTGCCAAATCTTTTTTCACTTCACTCCAAATTTTGCCTGAAACAACATACTGTTTTTAGTTGACAAAATCACCCCCAGATATCTCACCATTTCTTCAATCCTGAAGCCTGTCTTACTCATCAAGAGATCCTGATTAGGCAGGGTCATATTTTTGATTAACATTTTTGTTTTTTGTTTATTTACTTTAAAACCCGCCATTGACTCAAATTCCTTCAGTTTCTTCATCAAATGCTCAGCAGATTCTAGAGGATCCTGCAGTATCAAAACTAATTCATCAGCAAAAGCCCTCAGTTTAAAAACCTCTTGTTAGATCTTTAAGCCCTTTATTTCTTCATTCCTTCTAATATCTCTATTAAACATTTTGAGAACCAAAATAAAGAGCAAAGGCGGCAAAGGGCAACCATGTCTTGTTCCTTTTTGTATATGATATAGTTCAGTTAACTCTTCATTCACAATAATACTAGCCTTCTGAGGTGTATAAATTGACTTAATTCCCTATATAAAGTGTTCTCCAAAGTCCATACTTTCCAAAACTTTAAGCATAAACATCCAATTCAAATTGCCAAAACTTTCTCTGCATCCAAAAAAATAAGAGCCATCTGACATTCATTATGATATTGTAGATCTTCTATAATGTCCGACACAACTCTCACATTATCTTTTAATTGTCTTTTAGGCAAAAATCCACATTGGTCATGATGAATAAACTCCTGTAAAAATTTTTTAACCTTTCTGCCAACACTGAGGCAAATATTTTATAATCAATATTCAACAATGAAATTACTCATAATTCTTAATTAGAAAAGGATCTTGTCCTTCTTTAGGTAAGAGTGTAATGTTGGCTTTCTTCCATGAATCTGGCATTGCTGCACCCAGCAAAATAGAGTTCATCAACCTTTTAAAAGCTAGAAGAATCTCATCTTCAAAACATTTATAATATATTACAGGTAGTCCATCAGGTCCTGGTGCTTTTCCCAATTTAGTTCTCTTTATAGCTTCAACACTTTCAAAAATACTTATAGGACTACTCAATATTAATTTCTGTGACTGTGAAAGTTTTGGTAAATTTTGCTTATTCAAATATTCATCAATCTTTTCCAAAGAGATTTCTTGTTTTTTATATAAATTGGAAAAAAAATATGAAATGGTTTTTTAATCTTTTCATTACCCAATAATTCCACATTTCCTGCTTGAATTTTGGAAATCATTTTCTTCTCTCTCTCTTTCCTTAATTTGTATGATAACCATCTTACTGGTTTATTAGCAAATTCAAAATGTCTCTAGCATATCTTAATTTCATTCTCACTAAAACTTTCTGCCACCTGGTAGAAAGACATTAAAGCAATCTCTGATACTTTGGCAAGAAAAACCCAAACCCTCATCTATAGCCTGTCTCAATTATTCTACTGAGAATCTGAAAACCCATCAAACTTAGTGTGAACAATGAAGTCTTTCAAATATGTCTAATTCTGGTGGAACGTTCTTAAGTTATAACCAGCACCTTGAAGTGGCCAGGAAACAGTAGCCTGGCCCTTTGACTTCAAGCACAAAGTCAAGGTTTTGCTGGACAACATATCCAGCATTCTTAGCTGCTGGTCAGGAGTCCATGTTCTCTTGACCAGCAGAATCCCTCCTTCTCCAAAACCCCCACTCTAGATACACACATTCAAAATTGGATTCTACGGAATGGGGCTCCGGTCAGCAGAGCAAGGCCAACTGTGTACAGTGGCACTATTCTACTGCTGTAAATTGCACTGTGCAACCATTGCTAGCTAACTAGCAGGGCTAGGTTGATCCATTTCTTCTATTACAGAAGGTCTTGCCATTTTCTTCCAAGCAGGAATGAAGAAGCAATGCTGCCATTTGCCACATGCTGGCCAAACATAGCCAATGCTACAACTTGAAAGAGAACTGCCGTGTCATTATATTACTGCATGCAAGGCATGAATGGTTTGGGGGGCTACTGCTTCAAAATCCAAGAACAACAACTTTCTGTCAGGAAAGTAAAAAGAGAGAGAAACAGAATGATAGCTCCAGTTGGTGAGGATTCTGCAAACCTCCATATAAAGCTAATAAAATTTTCTTCACATCCTAACAAATACAATTCCCTTTTCCTCCTCCTCCTCCTCCTCCTCCCTCCTTATATATTTATTATCAAGCAATTTTGACCAGCTCATTGGCTCAAGACTATTATATCCACCTGCTTCAGCCTAAATCTAAAACCATATGAATCTTTCTGTCTTCTCTTTTTGCTTAGCTCCATCACTTTCTAAGGAGAATCTCATTCAACAACAGTGTTGGAGAGACAATATCTTTTGATAACCATCAAGAATTGATTGCAGGATTTGATGTTACAAACTGGGTAACTTTCCAAAATCAGTCTTTTCTTCGAGTCAAAGTTGGAAGGCTGGAGCCTTGGGCTCCCCTACATAGACAGATAACCATTCAGGATGAAAGCATAGCGTGGGACAGAAAATTCAACCAGGTAAGGTTGATAGTATAGAAAAATAACTGCAACTCTGTACATTCATATGTATATGTATATATGTGTACACACCCACACACACAACATCTGTTGGAATCCTGAATCTTTTTTTACTATTTTGTTATTGATATTTAACCCTGATTATAAGGAAATCTGTCTAAAAAGCACATAGGAATACAGGATATTCCTATCTCAGGGGTTACTTTTGAGCTCTTTGTGGTTTTTGTAAGACTGTGGTTTGGGTTGAATTTAGGTTTTGGCAGTATATGTAAGGCATGTAAAATTATTTTGATGCAGCATAAACACCTTACTTCCTCACTCTGGCACTCAAGTAGTAAGCAGAAGACTATGCACAAGACTCTTGGTACAGGAATATGTACAACATGCCTTCTCCACCTCCCTTACACATTTGCATAGACATTGCTTCTCATTTCTTTTTTGTATATACCTCCTAAAATTCCTTAGTGGACAGAAGAATTCTTTACCTACAGTACATATCTAATTAATAATGATGAATCCACTTGTTAGGATCAGGATGTCAACACATACACTGATACTCTCATCAGAAAAAGGAAAAAAACACCCCCATATATTCCACATCATGCAGAAATATTCCTCTACATATGATCAATTTAACAATGGTGATTTTAGAAAATAACACTTTTCGAAATTCCGGATGTTTCTACAGGTTGTGCCTATTTCTCTGTGTAATGACAATTGCTCTCCTGGCTATCACAAGAAAAAGAAGGAAGGGCTTCCGTTTTGTTGTTATGATTGTATTCCATGTCCTGCAGGAAAGATTTCAAGCCAGAAAGGTAGGATTCAGGCATATTGTAACAATCCAGAATTAAGGATTATACATTTCAGATAATAATAAATGTTTTGCTTACAGTGTTCAATACTCTGAATATGTGCCATTTCCAGTGATGCATGACCAAAACCAAAGCAAATCAGGTCATAATTTTTTTATTCACAAACAATAATAGCCATTGTAGTAAGCCTCAACTGTTTTCATCCAAGGCATCCTGAACTCTCTTTAGGGTTTCAGCTTTCACATCCAACAGAACCAAGAGAAGAATCATTCATATTGAATAAACTGCTGAATATTGTTTAACTGGCTGTTGTTTGGGGTAAGTGGGATACTTAAGCACTGAAGAAAGCATTAAGGGGCTTGCCTTGCCACTCTTTCCTCACCAAAGGGAAAAGCTGCCAAAATTGGGAAAGTCTCAAGGTATCTATCTTGAGTCTTATTTTACCACAAATATGGGGATAGTCATGCTGACAAAGAGAAGCAATTTTGCCATTGATCTAGTGCTGTTCCAGGAAACACAAAGTGGATGCTGGATTGTCAGATATAGCACTGCAATAATCCATAAATCACAGTCTGAAAATAATAATGCTTGAGATCAAAAACATGCTAAACTAACAGTAAAGTAAACACAGTATGGCTTAATGGCAAGTCTGGAATGAGTCTACATTAATAGCAGTTTTCCTATAGATGTACAGCTGTTCTGGGAACAACACAGTGGATGTTGGAATGTCCTGCAATAGTCCATAAACCACAATCTGCAAATAACAAGGGCTGGGATCAAGGACACACAAAGCTAACAGTAAATTAACCACACTAAGGCTTAATGGGATTTCTGGAACGGGTCTACATTTATTTCACATTTTTCTTCTAGATATGGATGCCTGCACTGACTGTTTAGAAGATTACTATCCAAACATGGGTCAAAACCAATGCATTCCTAAGGTTATCAGCTACCTCTCTTATGAAGAACCCCTGGGGATCACTTTTGCTTCCTCAGCTCTCATCCTTGCTCTCATCGCAGCTCTTGTGCTTGGAACTTTTCTGAGGCACCGGGACACACCCATTGTCAAAGCCAACAACCGAAGCCTTACTTACATCCTTCTCACCTCCCTCATGTTCTGCTTCTTCTGCTCCTTCCTATTCATTGGACAGCCAAAAAAGTTGACCTGCCTTCTCCAACAGGCTGCTTTTGGTATCGTCTTCTCTGTGTGCCTTTCCAGTATTTTGGCAAAAACCATATTAGTTATTTTGGCCTTTATGGCTACAAGACCAGAATCCAGACTGAGGAGATGGGTGGGGAAAAGGTTAGCAATTTCCATCTTCCTTCTCTCCTCCTTGCTTCAAGTGGGAATTTCAACTCTTTGGCTGAGCATGGCTCCACCCTTTCCTGATCAGGATGTGCACTCACTGAATGGGAAGATCATACTGCAGTGTAACGAGGGGTCGACTCTCTTGTTTTTCTGTGTCTTGGGCTACAAGGTTTTCCTTGCTCTTGTCACCTTGGCAGTGGGTTTCCTTGCCAGGAAGTTGCCTGACAGTTTCAATGAAGCCAAATTTATCACCTTTAGCATGCTGGTCTATTGCAGTGTTTGGTTCTCCTTTGTGCCAACCTACCTGAGCACAAAAGGGAAAGAACTGGTGGCTATGGAGGTCTTCTCTATGTTAAGCTCTAGTGCTGGCTTACTGGGTTGCATCTTCTTTCCTAAATGCTACCTCATCTTGTTCAGGCCAGATCTGAACAAAAAAGAGCAACTGGTTAGGAGAACAAAATAAAGCATAAGCTTTGAGTTTTCCCCTCCTATTCCCCACTTTGATTAGTCTTTCTTTAGGAAGGTGTAGGGAGAATTTCTTCTATCTTTCTTCTATCAGGTGATGTGGCATTTATTTTCTAAGCAGCTGGTTCTTTTGTCTGTTTCTTCTCTTACATTTTTCTTTACATTGAAACAGAGCAATCATGCATCAGATAATTGTAAGTCACATATAAAATGTCGTAGGTTTTTAATGTTTAAAATATGTAAAAATAATTGACCTCCATATAAGTAAAGCTGAGATACCTGTTTTGGCAGTCAGGCCAATGTTAATGGATACTTGGAACATATTTTGCTACCTCTCAAATGCCCAGGTTGCCATCCTTTGTAGAAAGAAATTGACTTTTTTTTCTTCCTGTAGGAAACAGATTGGAAAAACTAAAACTATCAGTCATAAAATCAGGGCAAAACACAGGAGAGAAGAACAAAGAGGCTGCTCCTGACTTGTTGGCTTAACTCCTTATTGTATAGTAATCCATATGATAAAAGGGGCAAAATGTCAATACTGTGGAGCTGTGTCTTCAATGTCATTAACATGACATCCCCTGCAAGACTCATACGGTATCAATAGAAAGAAAGATGGGCAGACTGTGATATTTTCCCCTTTCTTCTTAAAGCCTTCCTCCCATTTCTCTTAATTAGTTTCTGAAATAAATGCTGCAAGCTCCAAGTCTCATGTATTTTCCCCTCTTCAGTTTGTTGGTGGAATTGGGGGTTGGGGGGGGGGAGAAATTGGCTTAGCATATACATTCTGTTCAACCTTTGAAGCACTATGGAATTCTCATTACCGACTGGAACAGTGACACGGGGGAATAACAACTGTGAACTTTCAAATGACCACCTGACTTCTTCAGTTCACTAATTCTATGGTCCCTGATATATGCAGTAAACAGTGAGATTGTTGATTAAAGTCCAGATAAAAAAATTGAGACAGAATGTACCCTACTGCATTATTTTGATTATCCAATCCAATACTCTCTTCTAAAGAACCAGTTTGGTCTAGTGGTTAAGGCTCCAGGCTAGAAACCAGAAGACAGTGAGTTCTAGTCCTGCCTGAGGCATGAAAGCCAGCTGGGTGACTTTGGGTCAATCACTCTCTCTTTCAGCCCCCAGTGTCAGGCTTGGGTGACAAGCCGGCCTCTCAATTCCTGTCGCAACCAATGGATAACATTTGGTTGATCTGGAAAAAAAGTGGATCTTGCATATGTGGGAAAAATGTTGGGAAGAAAAAGAAATCCAGTAGTCTCTTCTGTTCTTAAGCAGCACAATTCTGTCATTTAAAAAATATGGACTAGATTTTTTTCCAAGTCTACAAATATTGGATTTTTAAACATTACACACATTATAATGGATTATAATCTTTAGAAATATTTAAATACATTTTTACTCTAATAACTGCATGCAAGTGCAATTTTTTTTATTTTTTATTTTTTTTAACCCACCTTTATTATTTTTATAAATAACTCAAAGTGGCGAACATACCTAATACTCCTTCCTCACTTATTTTCCTCACAACAACAACCCTGTGCAGTGAGTTGGGCTGAGAGAGAGTGACTGGCCCAAAGTCACCTAGCTGACTTTGTGCTTAAGGCAGGACGAGAACTCACAGTCTCCTGGTTTCTAGCCTGCAGCCTTAACCACTAGACCAAACTGGCTAAAATACCATTCACAACTTTCAATTGGTTGATAATAATAGAAGAGTCAATCCTGCCTTTAAAAATATTATTCTAAAAAATGTATGATGAATCTCCTGGCTAGATGAACTCTGAACATGTTTGCTTCAGTTTTGGTCTGCTTCACAGCCCCTCTCAATTTTCTCCCCCACATGCTACCAGGTGAGACTGAAAGGAAGCTTCTTTGGTTAATTGAATCAGAGGTTGATCCAGTGGTTTTCCATTATGTAATCCTCTAAACCAGAGGCAATCCATGGTGTTCTAGATGTGATGTTCCAGTGTAGTCAGTAAGGAAGATGATCTTGGTAGAAATATGCAAGAACTGTTACCTAAGCAAAAGGAGCTGAAACTTTTTTCTTTTAACTCCTGAGAAATAATATTCAAAAACGACTCAGGCAGATGCTTCCCTGATTCACTGGGGTATAAGCAGGGGAGGAGGTATAGCACAATCAAAATTGCAAGATTCTGTTATTATAGCCAGTCTGAATAAAAATAGTTCTAGTCTTCTGTGGAGTTGATTTCCTGGTCTGGTCAACCTATTGGGGCTTACATCAATCTTCCAAATCTCCTCTCTTTCAAGAGAGGCTGACGGTCTCAATTTTGTTGCTAGAGGTGGCCTCTGATCCTCAGGACACTCCAAAGTCCACTGAGCATCTTACTGCAGCATTGTTGCAACATCAGCAACAGGTAGATTCACAGATAATTACTGGCTTACCTAGTGAGGCTGACATCCAGAAGGCAGAGTATGACATCCTCAACTACTTCAGATTCAGAGGATTAACTTTCTGGAACTCACTGGACCCCTTCCATAACAGAAGGATTGGTGCAGATCTGGAAGAGGTTCTTCAGAACAATAGGGAACTGTGCATCAAAAGGAAAGACATGGCAGCTGAGAAGATCTTCTCTCTCTTATCCTCCAATGGTAGTCTACTGGTGGGCATGTGGGTGGCTGTGGGTGTGCATGTATATATGGCAAATCTTAACACCATAAGAAAATAAAAAGAACAAAAAACTAAAAGAATTTTAGAATCAACTTTCTTTTACCCTAATTTATGAATATTTATTTTGAATTATCTGTGAAAAATATATACTCCAGCGGTCCTGTTTCATATCTGAACAAAGTAAAAATCCTCTTTGAACAATATTGATTGATTTAATTAACTTGTATGCCACCCCAGTCTCAAGGTAAGTCTAGGTGTCTTATATATTAGGATTAAAAAAATGAAACAACAAAAAACAAAATACAGATGCCATGGCATCATAATAATACCAATAAATAATAGTAACCCGAAGCACATCGAGGAAGAACAAAATACAAAAACCAGTAGCAAGCAAGAGAAAATCCAGGTTAATATCAAGGAGTGGATCATAACCCACTCATGCCCAGGGCCTATTGGATGAGCAGGTCTTTAAAGATTTGCAAAAACACAACCAGGCCAGGGTCATATAGACTTCTGGAGAAATGCTGTTCCATTGGGCAGGCACAGTCATAGATGATAGATAAGAGGTATAGAAGCCACACATGCATAGTGTATAGTGATGGCTTCTAAAATTAGTTTTGTATTAAAGCCTGTCAACCGCAATTTGTTCCAGCCTTCAGTTTCTTCAATTCCCAGTTAGACGCCAGCTTTGGTATAGGTTTGGTGGAGATGCCTGGGGCAAGGTCTTGCCTAGTTATCTGGGAATGGTCTGAACCTGTTGGAACTGAGAGAGTGGACAAGGTCTTATGACTGTGAGGTCAGCCACCTGCTTCTTCACTCCATGTCCCTCCTGGCTAGTTAAGGATGCCTAGGGGGTGTCATATGGTTGGGTTCTAGCGGTGGTTAATTCATCCTTGAGGGAGGGGGTTGTTCCAGTGCCCCTTAGGAGGTTTTGATTCACCCCTTCCTCAAGAAACCATGACTAGATCCCACCATACTGGACAATTTTCATCCAATATCTAACCTCCCTTTCTTAGGGAAGGTTGTAGAGAAGGTGGTCGCACAGTAGTTTCAGTGGGCCCTGGATGAAGCAGATTATTTAGACCCCTTTCAGTCAGGGGTCTGGGCCTGGAACAGAAACAGCATTGAACATGCTTTTGGATTATCGCTGGTGGCAGCGGGACAGGGATAGTGCATCTGTCCTTTCTCTCTTTGACCTCTTGGCGGCTTTTGATACCATCAGCCATGGTATCCTCCTTGGTTGGCTCCATGGGTTTGGAGTGGGCAGCTCAGTATTGGGTTGGTTCTCTTCCTTCCTACAGGGCTGGTACCAGTCAGTGTTGACTGGGAGACTTCTGGGGAAAGGCTGTTCCATTGGGCAGGCGCAGTCACAGATGATGAATAAGAGATATAGAAGCCACATGTGCTGGCTGTATCTGGCCACTCATAATATTCCAGGTTCATTTACTTCAGTAGAATTAGTTCCTTTTCAACAACTGAGAATCCTAAGAAGCAGAGTTCTGGTCCTATCACAACTTCTCCTATGAATCCAGTGAATGGAACTATAAAAGTATTGTCAACTTTCATAAGAAATATGAGTACTGGGAGTCTGGGGATTGGATTGGGTATGGCCACATCCCTTCTTTGTGTGTTAATATACTTTCTTGCTATAAGTCAAATGTAGTTCCTTAGTAAAGTAATCACCAACAAAGACAAGTATTTTATATCAAATCAAACTATTACAGCAACAGTTATCTATGTTGACAGTAAGAGAAATGGAAATTAAAATGAATTATGTAAGACAAAGGAATTTTGAATTTGCAAACAAACTAGGAAAGTGGCTAGCTTATAAATTGAGGAAGGAGAAAGAAAAGAGGATAATATTGAAGCTACAGGAGGGAAATATCGTTTTAACATATAACTTGGCTATACAAAAAGGCTTTCATCAGTATTATTCTAATTTATATAAAGGACAAGATATTTCTCTGGAAAGAATAGATGTTTAAACCTAAAAAAATTTACCACAGTTTACAGATACACAGAGACAAATAATGGATCAACCTATAATAATAATGGAACTTTCAGAAGCCATAAAAGAGATTATATTAGGAGAAGCACCTGGGCCAGATGGATTACCAGTTTAAAGACTTTATGATAAAGTGGGTAAAAATTTTGGATATCATATACAAATGGAACAATGGGAAGATATGTGGATGAAAGGATTAAAATTCATACTGCGTTATAATCTGAAAGAGAAATTTTATAAAATGCCTTCTGTGGAGTGAACAAAACATTTGCAAATTCAAAACTCCTTCATTTTACTTAATTCATTTTAGTTTCCATTTCTCCACTGTCAACATAGATAAAATTTGATATCAAATGCTTATCTTTGTTGGTTAGTTCTTTAATTCTTCTTCTTTTCTCTTAATTGCCTGTAAAATAGCTTGTCTTTTTATTTCTGCTTTTTTTTCCCCAATTCAGTATTATGTTGGATAAAATAACCATTAATAAAAATGGTGGAGCTTGCAGACAGCACAGTACTACTTTCATTATTTGTCCCCCACCCTTCTTCACAGACTAGCACACACATGCACCCACACACAGACACACACAGAGGACAAGCTGACAAATTGCAACAGGCTTTGTCTCATTTTGGCTGTACCCAGAAACCATATCATATATTTGGGTATATCAGATTATTGCCATCTCCTGTTTTTGTATTTTTAGAAGTGATATTTATAAACTGCAAGGTGTTTAAGTTAAAAATGAGCATTTCCCTAATGTCAACTGCAACTTCAGTACCAGAGGACTTGTTAAAGTTCATTATCATTATTGGATTGCCTCTAATTGTTTCATCTACTAGATAAGCATCAAGGGAAATTGAAAGCTATGGGCAATATCTAAAGAAGAGCCATAAGGACCCTCTCTAGTTGTAGGTGATGCATTAAAAGTCCAGGAACAAGAATATAGCTGAAGGATTTACTTATACGTCTCGTGAATTATGGAAAGGAAATATATTGTATGTAACCTAAGCAATTGACCAGTCATCCTTTTGATTTCTCAGCTGAAGTATCCCTGTTCGGTTTCTTCATAAAGCCTGGAATGCATCAAATTCATTAGGGCAAGAGGAAAACCTTGAACTGCATGACCTACACAATGAGTGAGAAGAAAATATATGCATAAATACAAGGACAGCATTGAAATCAAGCTAGAATCAGCAGACAGAGTAAGAATACCAAGAACATTGGCAACCATTAAGAGGAGATATTCCATGTAAGGGTAACAACAATTTAGACATTATTGATGAAAGCAGCAGAATTCTAATCTGCAAGTAATCCTGGTTTCAAAATGATGGTATCACTCATCTTATTGTGTCAAATCGTGTTCAAGACACATTCCTTTTCCAGCAACACTAAGACTTCTTCCATTATATGCAACATAAAGGATCCAGTCAAAATTTCACATGAATTCTATCAGCTGGGGAACTTTGCCATTGGACAGATTGCTTCTCAAATCTTTTTCATTTACTTCTCAACTAATTTCAGTGAGCAGCCATCCCAGTTCAGTATCAAAGAAGCCATGTAAGCATTTCACCCTCTTTTCCTGCCAATTCCCCCACCCCTGAGTATCCATTCATTAAGACTGAAACAACTGGAATGTGAGAAACATTGAAGAGTTGAAGACATACTTTGATCTTTATGGCATTATTGTTGTTCTTTCCTTTGCATTATGCCTTTGCTTACTCCTGGACAATCACATTTGTTTTACTTTCAATATTTTCTTAGAATGCCATTTATTTCCAATAGCAGAATTTACTGGTAATCTAGTATATATCATTTCACATGGCATTTTTGTTCCTAGTCTCAGAGTTTATTAGTTTTTCACTACCAACGGCTTGCCTGTCAATTTTTCCATTCACATATCTCATTTTATTAACCTGAACACTGTATTGTACAAAGCTATCTGATTCTGCCCTCTTTAGTTTTATTCCTTCAAAGTTCCACATTTCATTACTGCTTTGCTGTGCTCTATTGTCTGGATTTTTTTTTAATCTACTACAGATTATTTTCTCCCATTCCTTTGTTCTTTACCAAATTCTTCCCTGGACTTCTGAAACAAGAACTCTGCCCTACTTCTGTAGCTTTTCAGCATAAAGTAGTGTCAGGTATTTGAAAAAAAAAAAAAAAAGCTAACATATGTTGAGTGTTTCAGACTTTCAAATCCAATATTGAAAGGCATATGTCAAGCTATAAAAGTTTTTGTTTGCTAAAGTACTGCTACATGTTTCCTCTAAAACCTGTTTCGCTGTACCTTATGTAACTTTGCAGTGTGATGCCAAAAAACTACCAGTACATTCTGGCTCTCATATTTGCAATAAAGGAGGTCAATGAGGATTTCGTGATTCTTCCCAATGTCACTTTGGGTTTCCACATCTTCGACAACTACTGCAGTAGACAGATCACATATCTTGCCACCCTGCGCCTGCTTTCCACAAAGAACAGATTTGTCCCCAACTACAAGTGTGATCCTGAGGACCGCTTGATAGCTGTCATCGGAGGACTTGATTCTGAAACCTCTCGTTATATGGCCACAATATTAAATGTTTACAAGATTCCTCAGGTGATATGCAAAGCATTACATAACTAAAATATTATGGTACACGTATAACATAATTAAACATAGAGAAATAAATCAAGGTTGTAAGTAAAAGTAGAGTCTATAATGCATAAAAAGCATATCCTCCATCCGAAATACACTTCAAAATAGTTTCCAGAAACAGCATATTACATGGTAACCCTGTGCCAGCAATTGAAGAAGTCAGGTGAGATAGTTTTTAAAAGTTTCCCTGTGCAAAATGTTCCCTGCAGATAGTAATAAAATTGTCAGTGGAAAGTATTCTAACCTACTTTTTCATTACATGGTTAACTGGTGAAGGCATGAATAATATTTATTTTATTCAGGTTCTAGAATGAAATATAAAGGCAGAGAGCAGATGGGAACTCTCAGGCTTCATGCAACTGAAGATCTGTTCAAACCCAGATGGTAACATTTTTTTTTTTTTAGATTTTTTTATTCTGCTTTTATTATTTTTATAAATAACTCATGGCAGCAAACATACCTAATACTCCTTCCTCCTCCTATCTTCCAGACAACAACAATCCTGTTAGGGGTTGGGCTGAGAGAGTGACTGGCCCAAAGTCACCCAGCCAGCTTTCATGTCTAAGGTGGGACTAGAACTCTCAGTCTCCTGGTTTCTAGCCTGGTGCCTTAACCACAAGACCAAACCAAATTCTGGCTACAAATGTAGATTAAGAAGTAATTTATTGCGCATATCAATCATACAGAAATTATTCCATTTTTTATTGTAATGTATGCTTTTAGATCACTTATGGATCGCTTGTTTTAGGACTGAGTGATGAAATTCTTCTTTCTTCCTTATATCGGATGGTTCCAAATGAATTCAGTCAGTACTCTGGGATTGTTCAGTTGCTGATATATTTTAGATGGACATGGATTGGCCTCTTTGCAGTAGATGATGACAATGGAGAAAGATTTTTCCAAGCCATGGTGCCTATGCTTTTTACAAATCATATCTGTTTTGCTTTCATCAAAAGAACACCGAAATGGACCGATCTGGCTGAACTCTTAGATTTATTTCTAGATGATCTAGAGAAATTTCACAGTCTCATGAAAAGCAAAGCCAATGTATTTATTGCCCATGGTACACTTGTATCCATGCTAAATTTAATCTGGTATCTTCAGGTGGCTGCCTTGGATTCCCACACAGGTAAGGTGTGGATTGTGACAGAACAGTGGGATTTCACATTAAGTGACTATCAAAAGACCATGGATATTCATCCTTTCCATGGTGCTATATCTTTTTCAATTCATTCTAATGAAGTACCAGGATTTAAGACATTTCTTGAGAACGTACAGCCTTTCTGGAGAAGAGAAGATGGTTTTATCCAGGACTTTTGGGAAAAGACTTTTGGCTGTTTATTGAAAAATGACAAGATGGATGAAGATGAGGAGTCCAAGAAACAGTGCACAGGAGAGGAGAATCTGGAGAACCTTCCAGGGACTTTCTTTGAAATGAGAATGACTGGCCACAGCTACAATATCTACAATGCTGCCCATTCCATTGCACATACTCTACACACTATTTATGAAGCTAGAGCAAATGCTCGAGCAAGGATCCCTGAAGAAAGCCTGAAATTTTGGCATTTGCAGCCATGGCAGGTAATTAACATCCAAAAAGCATGGCTTAGTTTTCATATGGAGATTATCAGAAGCTAGAACGTTTGTGGGGAGAGGGTGGTTATAATTTCCAAACTTGGTGTCTTCCATTTATGTTGAAATGCAGTTCTCAAAAAGTGTATGAGACTTGGCTTTGGAGGAAAAAAATGCTCTATTTCATGGATAGAAACATGGGGACTGAACTGGCTGTGACTGAAAACCACAGAGATTGTATTGCCAAAATGGAAAAAGGGATATTAATTATATCTGCCTTATGAGAATTGAATAATTGTTTTCACAGAAGTACAAAGATCTCATCCAATTTAGGAATCTGGCATAGTTACAAGTAAATTGTTTTAATCTTTTTCCCTTCAGCTATGGTCCTAGTTCAAATCAAGGGACTTTAATTTGCACTGCAAAGTAATTATATATTAAATTAATGTCTCAGAATGATACAATATATTTTTAAAAATCCCCTCTCACCCTATGGGTCGTATGTCTGTCCTTCAATCTCAGGTCCTCTACAAAAGGCCTAGGAGTTCGAGGGTTCTGCACAGTATCTTGGCTGTTCCTAGCACTGCACTCTTCTGGACAGAGAGGCTGATGTTTTTCCTGGGATGTTGGAACCACTCCCCCAGCTTAGGAGTGACAGCCCCAAGTACTCCTATCACCACTGGGACCACTTTGGCCTTGACTGTCCACATCCTCTCTAGTTCCTCCTTCAGGCCCTGGTGCTTCTCCAGTCTCTCATACTCTTTCTTTCTTATGTTGCTCTCACTTGGCACCACTACATCTATCACTACTGCTGTCTTCTGGTCTTTGTCTACTACCACAAAATCTGATTGATTGGCCAGTACCTGCCTGTCTGTCTGGATCTGGAAGTCCCACAGGATCTTAGCCCTATTATTCTCCATGACCTTCTGTGGAATCTCCCATCTGGACTGGGGGGAAGGGTCTAGCCCATATACCGTGCAGATGTTCCTGTACACAATGCCAGGTACTTGGTTGTGCCATTCAGTATATGTTGTTCCTGCCTGCATCTTACACCCTGCCACTATGTGTTGGACTGTCTCTGAGGCCTCTTTGCACAATCTGCACCTTGGGTCCTGTCTAGTGTAGTAGACCCCTGTTTCTATGGATCTGGTGCTTGGTGACTGTTCTTGTGCTGCTATGATCAGTGCCTCAGTGCTGTCTTTGAGTCCAGCCCTTTCCAGCCACTGGTAGGGTTTTTCAATGTCAGCCACCTCAGCTATTTGTCAATGATATATCCAGTGCAGGGTCTTCTCTTGCCATAGCACTTCCTCTGCTCGAACTTCCTCCCATGTCTGCTGCTGCCTCAGGCATTCTCTCAGCAGTTCATCTGTAGGTGCCATCTGACTGACCTACTCCTGAATGTTCTGGGTTTAATCCAGGACAGTGGCTTTGACACTCATTAGACCCCGCCCACCTTCTTTCTAGCTGGTGTACAGTCTCTGGGTGGAAACCTCCGTACATTGTGAAGAGTTTCTGGGTCTTCACATTGGCAGCCTTCATGTCCTCCTTTGGCCAGCTCACTATACAGGCAGGGTATCTGATGACTGGCAGGGCATAGGTATTGATGGTGAGGATCTTGTTCTTCCCATTAAGCTGGCTCTTTAGGACCTGCCTTATCCTTTGGTGGTACTTGGATGCTGTTGTCTTCCTTGCCTCCTCATCGTGGTTCCCATGTGACTGTGGGATACCCAGGTACTGGTAACTGGCCTGTATGTCTGTTAGTTCCACCCCATCAATCCTAACTCCTTTCCCTTCTTTATTACCATCCAGTCACACTTCTCCGGTCTGAATGACATTCCAATGTCCTCATTGTCTCATTCACTCTTAGCATACAGCTTGATGTCATCCATGTAGAGGAGCTAGCTGATGGTAGTTCTACTCTTGAACTTGTATCTGTATCCAGTCCTTGTGATTATCTGACTGAGGGGGTTCAAGCCTATAAAGAACAGCAGCAGGGACAGTGCATCACCTTGGTATATATCACACTTGATGGCCACTTGTGCAAGCTGTCTTGAGTTGACTTGCATTGTTGTCTTCCACAGCCCCATTGAGTTTTTGAGGAAAGTCCTTAGTGTTCTGTTGACTTTGTATAGCGCCAGGCATTCACCGATCCACGTGTGTGGCATTGAGTCATAGGCTTTCCTGTAATAATCCAGGCTGTGCTCAGATTGCTCTGTCTAGATCTTGAGTCTTGTATGACTGCTCTATCTATGAGCAACTGGTGCTTTGAGCCTCTGGTGTTGTTCCCAATGCCCTTCTGAGCTGTGCTCATGTAATGACCCATATGGTCCTGTAGCTTGGTGGCTATGATGCCTGATAGGACTTTCCATGTTGTGGGGTTATTGGCTGGTAGTTGGATGGTGCTTTTCCCTTGTGGGGTCTTTCATGATCAGCACTGTCCTTCCTTGTGTTAGGCAGTCTGGGTGAGACCCTGCTGCTGTTCATGCACTGCTGTTAGTTTATTTAGCCAATAGGTGTGGATCATGTCCAGGCCAGGTGCTGTCTAGCTGTTCATGTTCTTGACCCACTGTTGGATGCCTGTTACTGTAATTTCTGTTGTTGGTGGCTCTGCTGTTACTGTATTGTTGCACTGCAGTTGGGAGTACACCTTGGATGGTTCTTTGGAGGAAAGAGCATTTATCCTCTTGTCTCTGCTTCTCTAATGTACCTCCTTAGCCTGGCAGCCAGTGCTGTGAGCCTTTGTTTAGCAATCTCTAGGGCTTCAGATGGAGTCAGGCCCTTGTATTTTTTCAGTAGCCAAGCCTTATCCTTAATCTCCACACCTTTGTGTAGTTCCACCACCTGACTGACTTCTCTCCAAGTTGCCTTGATCTTAGCCTCCAACCTCATATTCCAGGAAGGGTATGTACTGCTGTTCTTGGTCATGTAGCCAAGCATCTCCAGGATTACAACAGCTGTAGCATATACCAGTTCATTGGTTTGAGTTTTGGTGGTAATAAGAATGGTTGTGAGGGCTCTATTGGCATCTTCTAGCATACTATCTGATGGTACTTCTCCACTGAGCCTTGGTAATCAATCTCAAAGGTTGACTTTAGCTAGTTTCTCCATGATCTTATGCCTCATATCAATTGCTTGCTCTGTAATGGAGGGGGTTGCAGTGACGTTTTAGCTTCAGGTGTTGGCTGCACTTACAGTTGTTCTCCCAGGTCTTTTTGAGTCCAGGATGTAATGTGTAGTTGATCTATCTCAAGTTGTGAGAGCAGCTTCCTCTTTACTCAGTTAAAGCATTGGGTAACTAGTTATTTCTCAGTTACTATGGATGTAGGTCTTCTGTCTATCCATAATTCCTCATATGTTTCATATATTCTCATTAGGTCTACTGTTGTAGTAGCATTCCATCAATTCCAGGTTCTCTTGTCTCATCTATGTATGGTTTGTTATATATGTAAACATAAACATATACATATGAGAGCCAGTTTGGTCTAGTAGTTAAGGCTCCAGGCTAAAACCAGGACACTGTGAGTTCTAATCCTGCCTTAGGCATGAAAGCCAGCTGGGTGACTTTAGGCCAGTCACACTCTCAACCCCCAATGTCAGGCTCAGGTGACAAGCCAATCAGTCAATTCCTGTTGCAACCAACAGATCAATATTCGGTCAATCCATAAAAAGTGGACCCTGGGCATGTGGGAAAAACACTAGGAAGAATACACACACACACACACACACACACATATACACACAAACATATATATACACATATACATATGCAGATACATATATACATATATGTATACATTTGTGTGATATGGGCAGCTATATAAATATGATAAATAAATAAATATGCATATACACATACTGTATATATTGATTGATTATGTGTCATCAAGTTATTTTCAACTCCTAGCGACCACATAGACTTTCTCAATGACAATCTATTCCTATCCTGGTCTTTCAGGTCTTCCAACAGTGCATTCATCGCCATTGTAACTGAGTCCATCCACTTTGCTGCTCCTCATCTTCTTCTTCCCTTTTCTTCCACCTTTCCCAGCATTAGAACCTTTTCCAGAGAGCTAGGTCTTCTCATAATGTGCTGAAAGTAGGATAATTTGAGCTTGGTCATTTGCTCCTCGAGGGAGAACTCTGGCTTGATTTGTTTGATGATCCATTTATTTGTTTTCTTAGCTGTCCGTGGTATTTTCAGGAGTCTTCTCCAACACCAAAGTTCAGAAGCATCAATACTCTTCCTATCCTGCTTCTTCAAAGTCCAATTTTCACTTCCATAGAGTGTCATCTGGCTTGCATGATTCTGATCTTTGTCGGTATAGAGACATCACAACATTTGAAACTTTTCCAAGGCCCAAATATAAATATAAATATATTGCATTCCATGTTTCCCATCTAAATTAGATGCCCATGCCACCAACTTCAATACTTGTGGACAGACCTACATTTAGCATGCAACATCAGTGAAAAAATAGAAATGGAGTTCTGGGCATAATCAATACAATTTCTAGCCCCTTAATGATGGGGCAACATTTGAAATACTGTGTCTAATTTTGGTCATCCCAATATTATTAAAGAACTGAAAAGTGCCCAGAATCTCCCTCTCCCCCAGGGAGAGATGTTAATAAAATATCTGGTGTTATAATATCGGAAGTGTCTTTGGAATACTGTCTATGGCATTGGTTACTCATCTAAAGTAAATTACTGAAGAACTGAAAGAAAAGATTATAAAAGTATTTTTTTTCTCTATCTCTTCATTATATATAACAAGACCATATGATTGGCAGTAGACACAGGACAGTTATAATACATAAATAAATAGAATATAGGATTTAGCATCACCAGATCTAGTATTGGCCACAATACAGATGACTTTAAAGGGGAATGTAAAAAATAAAAGATGAAGGATATATTATGAATCTCTGTTATTTAAAAAGGGCTTTAAGTATCAATTGCAAAGTAGGAGGGAAAAAAATCGGAATCATCCTGGAAGAATTTTGGTGACTGACCTTCAACAACTCAGTTTCTCATTTAAAATGACACTGGAGCAAATTCTGTTATACAAAACAAATGGATATATTTATTATCATCACTGACCAGAAATATATACAACTTTATAAGAAAACATAATTTTATTTCCCCATCTTACAGTTTTCCCTCTATAATTAGCCTGAAGATGCCTACTTAACCCGACAGGCCTCCAGCTGCTTTTAACCAGACTTAGAAAGTATTAATCCCTCTGCAATAAATGTTTCTTAGTCTATTTTTCAGGATTTCAACAATCAATGCTCTTGTTGCTTTGACTTAGCTCCATCCCTTTCTGAGAGGTATCTCATTCAACAACAGTGCTGGAGAAACAGTCCATTTTGATGAAAATGGTGAACTACTCACTGGATTTGATCTTACAAACTGGGTAACTTTCCCCAATCAATCATATATTAGAGTCAAATTTGGAAGTCTGGACCCTCTGGCTCCTCAAGGCAAAGAATTGTCCATTCATGATAAAAGCATTGTATGGCATAGAAGGTTTAACCAGGTAAGAAAAACAAACAAACCTCAAGTTCTTGGTTTAACAAAGGGTAGGGTCATCTCAAATTCTTGATTCCAAGTACTGACCTATATAGTATTGGATTCCTAATCTGAACTACCTTAAAGGGCTGACAAGTACTGCAATGCCTGCAATGTCATGATGCACATTAAGAAGGGGTGTGTGTGTGTGTCATAATGCGACAGTGCTGCTTTTATTACTCTGCGATCTGGGTCCCTCCCATGGACACAACTGAATGTGTGTAGTTCCACTATGTTTATCTTTTCAATTCTTCAAAAGAGAGTGACTATCCAATCAAATTGAGGAAAGACAAACCTTATCTCATCAGACGCTTTGCCTTGGGATTTGTCCACCCTCACACGGGAGCTTAAAGGGGGAAACCCCCTAGACTAGCCATTATCAGGGGGATAAAGCCCGCTGAACCAACAAAGAATGACACTTTATATGAGAAAATCTCACTTTCTAAGGCTCTTTAATCCTGGATATGACCTAAATCCTTATGAAAGGCATTATATGAAAAGTGAAGTACCAAAGCAGAAAGAAATTGGATGACATTTCAAAATATGAAACTTGAGTTCAAGCGCATCGCTTTTTACTTATTTTCTGTACTTGTGTGTGTGTGTGGTTTATAATTTGTCCTTCATTTACAATGATGCCCAAGGCAGAATAAAAAAGGTTACAAATCCCTATGTAATAACTCCAGTAATATTGTAAAGAAAGGGAAAATAAAAGGATTCAACTAGCAGGCAAGAAAAACATATACATACCCACATGCACACGTGCATGTACACACTTACAATGCCTAGGCAGAACCCAATTTTTTGACACCTCACTAGAAAGTAAGTAAGGCAATGCATTCACTGTATTCCTTTCAATTCAGTTTCAAATATCAAAACCTACTTTCTCAATTCTAAATATATTCAGCTGAAACTCTTGCTATTTCTTCAACTCTTAACCATTTATAATGACCAGGCAAGAGAAATTTTAAAAAAGAGGTGTCATTTTGCTATTACCTTTGTATGAACAGGATGACGTGGGATGAAATCTTAGTTTGTAGAGACAATGAAATGTAGGGATTTAAAAATTATTAACAACTCCATGAATTGGTCTTGATCACAGATTCAGAGTAAATCTAAGTCCTTAAGTTTTATTATAACATGATTCTGTTGCGGTCATATACATATCAATGGTGATCATATTTCTCAGTCCTAAATACTCTCCACTTATGTTTTATGTTAGGTGTTGCCGATTTCTGTATGTAATGACCACTGTCATCCTGGTCTCTATAAGAAAAAAAAGGAAGGGGAGCCATTTTGTTGCTATATTTGTGTACCATGTCCAGAAAGAAAGATTTCTACCCAGAAAGGTATGAGACAAAATTCCTTTTCAAAATATAAACACCATATCAAGTTAAGATACCACAAAAGAGAGAATGGGACTGTTCACGCTGGCCCAGGACAAAGTATGATGTGTTCCACGTATCCAGTAGATGACCTTTAGTTAGACTTCAGTCTAACCAATTTCATATAATTGCTGGGATGATAAAAGAGGACAGAACCATAAAAGCCAGCTTGAATTTCTTTGAAAAGCAAGGGTAAAGAAATGAAGTGAAATCAAAATGAAAATGAAAATGGGAGAACCCTTCAACTCTCCAATAAGACACTGAAACTTCTATTTCCTTCCTAGATTGCCCCAGATTTCATTCTTCTCATCTAAAATCTATTTCTTCCTCCAATTTCCAGATATGGATTTCTGCACTGAATGTCAAGAAGATGAATATTCAAATATTGAACAGAACCAATGCATCCCAAAGCTTTTAAACTACCTCTCCTATGAACAGCTGCTAGGGATGACTTCAATGGTGTCTTCAATTGCTTTTGCTCTGACAACAGTTTGGGTACTTAGAACTTTTTGGAAGCACCAGGACACTCCTATAGTCAAAGCAAACAACCGAAGTCTCACCTACGCTCTTCTCTTCTCTCTTTGCCTTTGCTTCCTTTGCTCTCTCCTTTTCATTGGAAAACCCACACCTATCACGTGTCTTCTCCGACAAACAGCCTTTGGCATTGTCTTCTCTTTGGCCCTTTCCAGTGTTTTGGCCAAAACAATTACTGTCCTTCTGGCCTTTGTGGCTACCAAGCCTGGGTCCAAGATGAGGAAATGGGTAGGGAGAAGGTTGGGAGATACTATTGTCCTTTCCTGTTCCTCTATCCAAGTGTGCATTTGTTCTCTTTGGCTGTTTACTTCCCCACCATTCCCAGATAGGGACACATACTCTTTCCATGAGGAAATCATCCTAGAATGCAATGAGGGCTCAGCTACCATGTTTTACCTTGTCTTGGGCTATATGAGCTTCCTGGCCATGGTCAGCTTCTCTGTGGCTTTCTTTGCCAGGAAGTTACCTGACAGTTTCAATGAAGCCAAATTTATCACCTTCAGCATGTTGGTCTTTTGCAGTGTTTGGGTGTCTTTCGTTCCAATGTACCTGAGCACCAAGGGAAAATATGTGGTGGTTGTGGAGGTCTTCTCTATCTTAACTTCGAGTGCTGGGCTGTTGAGCTGCATCTTTTTCCCTAAATGCTACATAATTATATTCAGGCCTGAACTGAACAACAAGGAGCAACTAATAAGGAGATAATGCTGGGTTATATAAGAAACAATTTATCTAGGAAACAAGATACATACATACATATGTAACTGTGATGGAATGTATCTATGAAGTGGGGGGGTTATATGATGGAGTGGAGGAGAGAGCAAGTTTCTCAGGAAAGAGGGGGTGCATTCCAGGAAAGGCAGAGGGACAAGAGACTACACAGTCCAGAGCAGGAGCTTGGGAAGTGTAAGAAGTTTAGAATAGTCACTCCCTAGAATCCCCCAGGGTATGTCCACTACTTGCAATAGTACAGATTTAGTCTGGCAAGATTTTTTCTATATGGTGTAAGCAATAAAAGAACTGAACCCCATTGGACTCCTTCCCTGTTGTTCTTGGGCTGGGCCTGACAGTAACTAACCTGACTCCTAACATACTAATAAATTAGATACTTTGGATGAAGCTAGTGAAAGTTTGGACATATGGAACCATTACCATTTTCCATTTCATATTTTGAAAAACAGTATTTTAGAGAGAACCCCATGAAGTCCATGTTAAAGAAGAAACATTTCTCCAGATGTCAAGAACTTTAGCACCTGAGGTCCTGTTATCGTTCACTATCATTATCTCCATGCCTCCCCCTCATTAACCTGCTAGCCTAGTCTGATTATAAGATGTTACATACTGTTGTAGAAATCAGCAAAATGCTCACCTGCAAAGCATCCTTAAGCCTTAACATGATTGCTTCATTCTTATTACTATGTCCAGTTGCATTCAAGGTAAATTCCTTTTCCAGCCGGACTAAGATTCCTTCCATTGTATGCACCATAAGTGATTCAGTCATGATTTTACATGAATTCTACCAGCCAGGGAACCTTGCCACTGGAGAGGTTGTTTCCCAGGTCTTTTTCCCCCACTTGTCAACTGATTTCAGAGAAAAGCCTTCAGAGATTAGTATGAAATAAGACATGTAAGCATTTCTATCCCATCCTGAGTGAAAGAAGAGTGGTTGAATTAGTGCAGGATCCAGATACCTGCCTTTTGAGTGAGATTTTTCCTTATTATTGAATAATCACACCTGTTTTATTTTCAATATTTTGTTAGGACACTATTTCTAATATTTGCATTTATTAATGATTTAAAATATATCCAGCATTCCACATAGTATTTTCTTAATTGCTACACGTCGGTGTTTGCTTGTCAGATTTTTTTTTTTTTGCATCACCGTCTTGATTGTCAAGCTTTCCATTCATTCATTCATTCATTCATTCATTCATTCATTCATTCATTCATTCATTCATTC